TTTAAAAATAAAATTAGACTCATAAGAGCCAGGTCTAAGATGCATAAAACTTACCCAAAGATATTAATCTGGGGCAACATTTAAAAGCTATTATCCATGAAATAATTTATGCCATATGCTTTACGCTAGAAAATGAAAGAATTATTTCCTCTCATTGTATAATCATTAGTGACACATTCAAATAACATACCAAATGCTGTGTCCAACTTGATTCTTCACCATTCTTGATTTTTGAGACTCCTCGGCTCATATGGAAATACAATATCAACAGTAGAAAGGAAGGTGCCGATAGAATGGAGCAAGCTGTGCTTCCTAACGTTAACCAGGCCGCTTTCATGCAGTAAAATGGTGTCTTGTCTTCAGAGAAGGACAAGACACAACCGAATCATCTTAGGCTAAAAGTGAAGCACTTTTCAATGACAGTATGTAGCAACAGGACTTTCTGCYATTTTTTTGCAAATCACTGCAAAAATTGTTGCCAATTTTCAAATCATCACTCTCATGGCATATGGTATTAAAAAAAAAATATATATATATATATACACACACACAGATATATATGCACTCAGATGCTTTTTGATAAACACAATAAAAAGTTCCAATAGATTTTCGAGGCTTGGGGCTCTTGTACAGACTGATAACTTGTTCTCTAAGTGCTCACACTGTTAGCTTCGTTCTCTTTCCTGCAGTTTAGGTRTGTCACGGGTTTATTCTAGCTACAGGGGTATATCAGTGGGGTAATAGGCTTTTAATTAATAACTGAGGGCCACTTAGATTCATCATCATACTTCGCCATATTGTCAAACAGCAATTTCTATTCTTCTCACCAAGAAGTAATTATCGCAATGACACAATATCCAAATATCAGCCAAATTATGCCCAAATACCCAAATTATTTTCTTCAGATCATGCTTCACACCTCATTCTCATCACCTGCCTTAATGGCTTAGAACTAATTTTATTTTTTTAATTTTCCAAAAGAGAGCAGATTTTATGACACCCAGAAGAGAGTGCCACGAGTTCCCTCCAGCTGAGGGCTGGCAGATGTATATCTGCCGACTGCACCTACTTTCCTCTYCCTTGGGGACAGCAAGGAAGCCCACCTAGGGCAGCTGCTGCCTTCCTAGCTCAAAACATGCTCCTCATGGTGGAGCCAACAGCGGGCAGCAAACCAGCATCCCTCTCCTGGCGCAATCCCCATTCTCCATAGGACAGAGAAAGGATATTTCCTGCTTCGAGCTGAACGGTAACTTCCCTGCGCAGCTGCAACCTCCCTCAGCACGATACAGAAGCTCAAAGCTCAGAGGCAGCGACGTCCCCGCTAAAGCGGCCAGAAGGAAACGGAGGAAGCCAAAGGGCTGGGTCTGGCAGGGCCAAGCTGGGCACGGACACAAGCTCAAGGAGGCACCACCTCCCGGGCCTCGCTGCCCCCCCGCCGGGGGTTCCCTTCCCCCGGCCCCAGCTCAAACCCTGCTCTCCTGATCCGCTCCCCTCCCCCTGAGATCTGCCTTTGAATTATGCAAGTGCGGCACTCCCCAGGGCTCATCTGCCAAAAGGGAGCATGTGGCCCATGGTTTGCATTTTAGTTTGAGATTTTCTATTACAGCAGTCAGATCCTTTCAAAATACTTTCCTTCCTTTATTCCCATAGGCAGAAAGAATGGCAGGAAAAGATTGTTCACAGCAGTATGAAAGGATGTAAAAGTTCTACATTTTCGTCTTAAAAAAAAAGTTAGAATATGGTTTTAATCAAGTAGTTTTCCTTCCTAGACGAGTGTTTCCTTCTTGTAATATATATAACCTGACTGCCTATAAAAATAAAGGTGCCAGTTGGAGCTGTTTAGGAGACCTAAGGAAATTCTGCATTAACCTAAACTCCTCTACTCCTCAGTTCCTTGCACTCCTGTTCTGTGTGTGGCCTCTCCTTAGGCTGGTGACTTAGGTCACCCTGTCTCTGTGAGGATTCTGCACCAACATACACACCGTGGGCAACTCCGGACCAGCGCGGTCCTGGCTTTGCAGCGCAAGGATGTTCTCTCTGAACACGTATACACAGAAATTGCCACAGCTTAACCACATGCCATCATTTCTAAATGATGCACAAGCCCTACTAACATGCACTCAGGGTGCACAGAAGCTTCCAGTTGTCTTAAGTTTGCAAATACTACAACTGACAGGATTTAAATCCTCAAACCTGGCACCCTACTGAGAGGAAAAATGAAAGGTGAAAGCATCCTTCTCACAACCCAGAAATCTAGGATAAAATTCCCAGTTTAATTCTTCTGTAATAAACAGATATTAAATCTGTGGTGTCACGCCTGTCTAAAAACACTATTAATTGCCCAGATCAGAAACTCATTTGGCCTCTAACCAGGACTTTGGGAGAGAAAAGAAGGAATATTTTCTGGCAAGCTGACTTAAGGAGAAAAATAAACGCTGATTGAAGCTGCTCAGGAGAACAGAATGCTAGTGCAGGTCCTCGGGGAGATGGATTAGTAAGCAGGAAGAAGGTGAGGCTGTCAAAGGTGCATGATAAATTCATTTAGCACATAGATATTGAAGGATTATGCACATAGATATACACACAACCAGATTTTTTATTACTTTCATCTTTACTCATGAGTAAAACCAGAATAACTCACCATTGGTGATGACACTCATTAAATCTCTTTGAACTGTTATCAATAACACAGAGGAGCTGATCAAGTGCAACATTTTAAATTACACATACACATGTACCTAACACAAAAATATGCTGTTACAAAATGAATGTAAATCAGAATGGATACCTCACTCAAATCTTTTTACCACTACAATATCCTTTTGACCTGCTTAAAAATAAGGCCGAAAAAATACTGAAGAAAAATATTAGATTGGACCAATCCTCAAATAACAGACACACATACACACACAGAGCTACAGAAAACATACATTCTGCCAGCTGCATTTGTCAATTTTTGACATCAGTAGTTTCAAAATTCTTCTGCTGATAAGCTAGTCCTTAGTTAGGAATTCAATGGCACCAGCTTTTCCTCTATCTCCCCTTTTTTTATGTCATTCACCTCAGAAATGTATAGAGCAATCCAAAAACATGAATCACAGAATCACAGAATATTTAAGGTTGGAAGGCACCTCTAGAGATCATCTAATCCAACCTTCCTGCTCAAGCAGGCACACCTACATGAGCAACTCAAAAGGTTTGTTTAAAAAAAAAAATTAAATACATACAGAACTTCAAAACAAATGCCTCTTTTTAAATAACCTACATTTCCGGAATGTCTTTAACTTCTTCAGTCTTTCGTTGTCTTTTTTTTTTCAGGATTTTTACCTTGCATAAGTGAAATGGGTCACAGTTCTAATGATAATACAACTGTTTTTAAAAATTACATAAAAATGCTACATATGGTAGCTGTTATTTTGGTATTATTTCAATTATTAGTTTCATCGTTTAACATCTTTTTACAGAGAGACAATTTTTATGCTTTCTCTACTGCTATACATTAACCATTGGGAAGCCAGTCTTTTATAGGAAGAGTGGGATTTTGAAAAGCACTGTCTTGGTAAATATTAAAATTTATATAATGCTAGACAAATCACAAATAGAAAGAAAATCTTAATGTAAGAAAGTGTGTAAAGACATACAACCTTATTTCACATTAAGAGTATGTTGAAATTAACACTGACTGAACCAAAATCAATTATACAGAATTCCTGAACTTTTTTTTCCCAGTTCACACAATCTAGCACTTGAAGAGTCTAATAAATACTCTTGCAAGGCCTGTTTCCCTGTGAGCATACAGCGGACAAACATTATCAAAGAAATGAAAAGATGACAGAGTGACCAGTAAGAGCCACTACCCTAGGCCAGCAACTGTTCCAGATGCAGGTGCTGACAACTTTTCTTACAGGCCAAGCATTCCAGTATCTCTCCTCTAGGCTCCAATTAAAAGTAGCTACACGCAACACGTCTATTTTGGCTCATTGCTATTTTAGCTTTAGCCGATCAACACGAAATTGGCAGGTCTACTGCAAGCTATAGACTATGGCACTCAGCCACCGCTCTTGTTAGCAAACCCAGCCATGGGCACACATGTAATGTTTGTAAATATGCATGTCATCATTCTTGTTTTCATTCATTTCACACGCACTTTTCCTGCTGGTACACGTCTAGCCATGCTTTTAGATACAGTTATCTGAAACACTCATACTATTTTGTTCTCCGTGATTCAGAATATTTGGTAACTAAGTACCAGTTACTTTTAGTCTATAATTAATATACTTACAGTTATAATTGGTTCCAGTGAATTCTTATGAACAGAAGAAGTAACAGCTACCAAAATTCAGCCTTAATCACTCCCTTCCTCCACCTTCTCTTTTTTTTTGTAATACAGCTAAATATGCAGGGTAAGGAATATATATATATTTCTAAAATATTCTCAGGGAAATTTCAGAAAACAGATTTTTTCTGAATGTGTTGAGTTTCAGAAAAGATTACTGATCTTCCCARTAATTTGCTATTTGCTTTTGCATATGAACATAAATTTAAGACAAGTTAGTATTATCTGGATGTCCTACAAGCCAAAGAAATATATTAAACACTAGCAAATTACAGTGTTTGATGTGTACTACCTATGCAGAATGACATTAGAAGATACTGCGAAAGTTATTCAGAAGTGCCAGCCAAATCAAGGCTTCTTTTTCCATTAGGAGACAGTAGTATCGAGCAAAATGACTACTCTCAGCAAAAGAAACAATCTTCAAACATCTGTTTCTATACAGACATCCAGCGTGTACTAAACCTAGGTGCACATAGTTTAAGGACAACTTACATGCTTTTCTTCAATTTTCTTGTCTATGACCTAAGCACCTTGTATTTGATTGGCCTTTAGTCAAACCACAAAGGAAATCAAACACTTGAACATTCACTGGTTGCCTTAAACAATATGGCATCTTTACATTTTCAACAGTATATTGCTCAAAAATATTTAAGTACAAGCTTACCTCTCTTAATACAGGATCTGTTATTGAACTTAAATTTACAGCTCCTTCATAAGTCAGGTAGTAGAAAACATTCAGGGATCTAACAGCCTCTGGCCCTTGCTGTTTGTAGCCAAAAATCAGATCAATCCATTGGTGAAGCTGGCAGGAGACAAACTCACTTTCTAATGCCTGTGAAAAAACACAAAACATACAATCCTGAGTTTCCAAATAGTCTTCATCACTAAKCAGTAGCATATTCTGAAAAGCATACAGAATTATCCTAACAACYCTCTCAGCAAAACTGGTAACAGTATTTTATGAAATTATAGCAGAAAAGAACAAGCAGCCCCTGTGATAGATGCCAGCCCCATCCAGCCSTGTCCTATTTCCCGCTCGTCTGTAAGACCCTTCTTAATCGTGGGAATGTGAAACAAGCAGTACATGGAGGGCATTTACACATTTATGGACAGCCAGGCTATGCGTTTGCGTGCTCTCAGGATGAAGCTGTGTTTTGCTACATGTGCTTTGCCGAGCACATGGCATGCAGGGCAATCTCTCTAGAGCAGACAGTTGGCTGGTGGATACCCAACAAACCAGGAGTATTCAAATGGCCACAGTGAAAAATGCTCTGCACACAGCAACAGCAGCCTGCTGTTTCCCTTATGCACTTCTGCTGTATATCTGGGATAGTGGCTTTCACAGAAACTGCATGATGCTGAATGATTAAATCATTTTTCTGATCACATTATCTAGTTACATTCCAACCCTTGAGACAAAAGTACCACGTGATAATTAATCTTTCCATAATGGTATTAAATGCATCCCAAATATATTCAAATATAACTTAAAAATCATTGTAATCTAAAGAGTTAATTCATCTGGAATAAATCACTGGCAGTATTTGCTTCCTCTCTTTTACACAGACAATTCAATAGATTTCCTTTTTTAATGAGAAGATGGGACAATGTTACAAAGTCTGATACTCGSTTCATCAAAAGAAACTAACAGCATTTGCCTTGTAAAGGAAATTCCTAATTTTGAGCAGAGGAAGTTAAATTAATCTGAAACGCAAAGAAACCACTATGCAATTTGCACACAAAAAATGATGGGTTTGTTTCATTAACCGATGCCTGGAAACAACATTTAAATTGACACATAAAAACAGCAATTGTCTTAATTTGTGTGGTGCACTCCACACAAAAGCCCTAAATATGTTCAAATTAGAGCAAGCTGCTTGATTGTCACTGCAGTCTCATGTCATATTAATGCATGACAAACATTAAACCATACACTTAAATGGCAATTTATATCATTTAAATGTTTACTGCCAAACCAGATCATCACTCATTTAAATGTGACTTTCTGACAGCTAATTTCAGTTAATTTTCCTCGATTCACTTAATTAGAACTTTCAATCAAGAAAAGACCTGTACATATCTTCTACTTCATATCATTCTTTTTTTATTATTATTATTTTTACTAGGATTCTCAGATACTGRATTGCTGAAAGCATTCTTTAAAGTGAATTACCACACGGCATACTATCTCTTTGGATGATCATATGGAACCATCTTACAACATATGCGCTTAGAGAGCTTTTTTACTTGTTTTATTTTCTTCCTTTTTTAAATAAAAAAAAAGAGATTCACAATTAAAGCTATAAAAAAAAAATCACAAGCAGGCCAATTAAAAATTAATGATTTCAAAATTGTTTAATAAGATAAAACCAGTCAGGAGTCTCATGAGTGTCCATAATGCTACAATTTGCAGCCATAAAATTCTACAGGGCTCAGCAAATGACAATGATAGGGATTCATTTTCTTCCAGCTAAAATGTTTTAACCCTAAAACATACTTACTATTATCATTATGTGGCAGGCTGTACAGTGGGACATTACATATTATAATATTTCTCTCAGGAAAAAAATAGTGTTAAGGACTTGTCTGCACATATTAAACACATTAAAAATCTCACATCTTTCATATTTTGCCTTGTTTTCGAAACTGAATTTGTAATGGTCATGGTACACCTAGAAAATACTGGAAAAAGAATAACTAGAGAAATATTACTCTGCAATTTCCTCAGACTAACAGATAAATCAACCTGACTATCTTAAAAACACAAAACCAAAACACACACACCCTGCCTGTTCACAGAGAGGCTGCTAGCCGATTTACTTCCCCTCTTCAAGTTCAAAATTAATTTACACTTGCAATGGGTATGAATTCAGTGGTAGTTGTTTGGGGTTTGTTTGTGATTGTTTTTTCTCTACATTAAGCAATTAATTAATTAAGCGATTGTAAACCTTCTTATTTGCTAAAACGCAAATCTGAGGGCTAAAAGAAATGCCTACGGTCAACACCAATACTCAGGACCCTGAAGAACAGGCCAAACGCTGCATACCCACATTCAAACAATAAATAAGCTGGCCTGTCACCGCAGGTTCACAGCTAAGTTCTTCACTGGAGGGAGGTGCATTTACTGTGACACCACCACTGGAGGATCAATAATTAATAGGTTGCATGAGGCTTTTTTTTTTTTTTTTTTTCCCCATGCCAAACAATGCAATGTTCTAGCATGTGTGATAAGCACCGTAGAGCCACACTGGCACATATTGTTTAAAATGGGCACCACTAAAAATATCTGTAAAAACAAAATAAGTTCCAATTTGCATAAACCCACAAAGCCAATCTATTACAGTCATAGAAATTACCCTCTTCTAAGAAGKTTTTCTTTTGTTTTTAATTATTTCTGCTAGCATTTGCCTATTGCAAAGCTAAAGCAAGGTTGCTGAATGGCAAGCATTTAGGATTACTTAAGCATCTAGGGCAGGCTGCGCTCATTAAGGCTCCCGTTAAATACGGCCTGCAGCTCGGGGACACTAACCCCCTTCCCAYGCGGCTCTTAAAGCCACCCGCGGAGCCATTAGCGCTCCCCTCGCAGCCGGCCCGCATCATTTACACCCCCTGCGTGYGCTCGGCAAAACGAGTAACGCACGAAAATCCACTAAAACGGCCGGCATAATACAGTAATATCGAATCCTATTGAGTTATTGTAAAATAAATCAGTGACTAATGCCCAATTGTTAAGGAGCAAATAAGACCCTGAAAAGACTGTCATGTGAAGCTGCACACAAATTGTCAATCCCGTCCACAGGGACTCATATTAACTTTGACAAACCGTCCTGGGGCTGATATCTGTTTCTTTAATGAGATCTATTAGGCAGAGACTAAAACACTTGAGATATGCTAAAAAGTACAGTATACAGATGTCAAACACAAACACCTATTAGTAACTTTCATTTCACCATTCCCAAGGTAGAAATGCTGCAGCAACATCAACAAACTGCAGCTTCGATCTTACAAAGAAATTTTGGTTTATTCACATTTTTTTTCAAACATACAATCTGATGTCATTTAAAAAATGCAATTAAAACTACTTCTTCCTGAATAATTCTGAAATTTATTATTTAATGTCTATCTTTTCATTTAATCTTTACCAAAAGGAATCAGCAGAGAATAATTTTCTGCTAGCATGCAAGAACCATCAGTCCAGAACACAAATGATTTGGTAAAACACAGTCAGAATGATGGAAATATAAAACCAGMCAGGTTAGGAAATATTTTTCCTTTCTTTCCTCTTACAAACACTCTTGCTATTCATACAATATGCTTCCCAAAAAATCCTTATCCTATACTCTTAGAATCAAGACCGAGTAAAATGACAAGTACTTTTAATGCAACTACAACAGAGTTTTGTCTTATGCTTTTTTTTTYCCTGTTTTAGTTTATTTAATGGTTTATAGCATATGAAATTATGTCTACTAAAAATAAATATATAATGTGCTAGAGGTTAGGGTGTTCCAAGGCTGAAATCAGGTAAAGATGTTATGTGCGTTTTTTTCACCAGTGTAGATATTTTTTCATAATGAAGATACTCTGAAATATAAGGCCACAGTCTTGGCTTGCCTTACTCCTATGTTGCTCAAAGCAAAATAATTCTTATGTATGGCATAAAGCTATATGCTTAACTCTTATTTTGAAAGACAGAATACAAGTCCAACCTCTACAAAATGTGTTTTATATATCTAGAATGAAAGGAGAAATTTTTGATGAGCTAACAAAACTGTTAGTCATGCATAACAGATCTCTCCTATTCATGCAATAAATATTAAAAAAAGAGAAAAAAAATAACAGGAATATACTAAATTGGTGAGTAAAAAATCACAAGCACAAATAATTGCCTATATTCTCCAACAGACTAAAAAAATTAGTTGCATTTTGAAGTAAAGAGTTGAAGCTTGCTGTGTGCACACCCTGCCCTGTAAGCACGCGCATGCCCACACGTTGCAAACCCCCGAAACAACTGCAGTCATGTTTGCATGTGCAGGCTTTCAGACACGAGCTGCTAATACTGCCTTTACATTGATATATGACCCTTGCAAGCTACAATGAAGAAGGCTGCTTTTTTCAGCCTAATTAGAACTGTTTCAAATTTTCCTGATAAATATATGATAGAAGGTCCTTTCAACTTTTCTTTTTTTTATTATTATTCTAGAGTTTCTTTCCACGTCGACTTTGTTCCAATCAAAATATGTTTTGAATTAAATGATTTTGATGCAATATGTGGATCACATTTCACTTCTAAGATTTAAAGACCAAAAAGGAAAAGTTTAGGGCTGTTCAAACAAAGTAGGAGCAGCCACTTTGCAGAAAGCTATTCACGTTTACCAAGACTGACAAATTGTTTGTGTGCACCATTAGGTCTAGTTTCTGCAATAGTTGCCAGATTTCCTGTCCTCCTAATAACATATTAACTCTTGAAGTGCTGGCTTTATCTTTTGAGGCTTCTCAGTACCTGATAATACTTAAAAGTAGATCACCAAATATGCTTTCATCTGAAACACTACCTGACCACATGGGTAGGCATCTGAAAAAGCAGAGAATACTATTAGAAATATACTGAACTCAAGCTTGGCCTGAGGGTATCAGGAGGAAGAGGTGGCAACCAGTTAAGATTGCCAGGATGCTAAGGAGAAAACTCAGTATTTCTATGAGGTAAAAGAAATTTTGAAAGGATGAAACAGATCTCAAAACTTTTTACACAATCGGTGGTTTCTAGCTTGCAGTGAATAACTCTTCCAAGCTGATAAGTACACAGAAAATACAGTTTTATTTCCTGCACTGTGC